GGATTCCCACGGCATTGCGCTGGGACGCGGGATCCACGGTGCGGACTCCGCCAACACTGCGCACCGGCTGCGCGCCGCCCTGCCGTGGACAGGTGTGCGCGGGCCCTGCCGCGGGACAGGTGTGCAGGTGTGCGCGGGCCCTGCCCCGGGACAGGTGTGCAGGTGTGCACGGGCCCTGCCGCGGGACAGGTGTGCAGGTGTGCACGGGCCCTGCCGCGGGACAGGCGTGCGCGGGCCCTGCGGCGGGACAGGTGTGCAGGTGTGCGCGGGCCCTGCCCCGGGACAGGTGTGCAGGTGTGCACGGGCCCTGCCCCGGGACAGGTGTGCAGGTGTGCGCGGGCCCTGCCGCGGGACAGGTGTGCAGGTGTGCACGGGCCCTGCCCCGGGACAGGTGTGCAGGTGTGCACGGGCCCTGCCGCGGGACAGGTGTGCCCAAAGTATTTACTGAGCACTTACTATGTTCCCCAGTCCGTTCCAGCCATTACGGGAGGCGGTAGGGGATTGTAAAGCCCAGACCCAGTGCTCCGATAGCTGGCCGTTTCTTTAAGGAGAAGAGTCATGAAATCCAATACAAGAGAATAGAGAATAGAGCTCAGGACCAAAATGAGACGGAATTAGCGCAAAAGACAGTTTGAAAGATGGAGGTCAGCGAGAGGTCATCTACTCACTCAACAAGTATTTGCCAACATCAACGGGGCGCCAAGCAGTGCTCCACACACTAGGGATACCAGGTGAAAGACCAAGTTCTTGCTCTCCCGTGGGACGCGGCACACAAACGCACGCACGCTGTCGCTTTTGACGGCGGTGGGTGCTGTGAAGAAATGAACTGTGCTGCTGGGGTGCCCTTTTCCTCGGGGGCCAGGAACCCCCTCTGAGGCGGCGACCTCCAAGCAGAGTCTTTGCTGGCGAGGAAGTGAGAGAGCTTGTTGTCAACCCTCCCCTGAGGATGGTTTTTCCATTGCTTTAGAGAGACTGGAAGGGAGGGAGGGATAGAGGGTGGGGAGAGAGAAAAGCATTGATGCAAGACACACACATGGGTTGGTTGCCTCCCGCACACGGCGGGGATAGAGCCCCCAATCCCGGCACATGCCCTTGCCCGGGGATTGAACCCGAGACTCTGGTGCACAGGCGGACGCTCTAACCACTGGACCACACTGGCTAGGGCACTGAAAGATTTTTACAGGAAGAAAGGCGTGGCGGGGGATTATTAGGACAAGAAAAGAAAGGGTTAAAGGACACCTTTTGGGGGGAAGGAACAGCGAGGGTTTTTCGGTGCAGATTGCCTCTTCTTCCTGGGGGCGATGGGAGGCCCCAGTGGCAGAGACCTCATTGGCACTGACCTTCGATTAAGGTTACGTTTCCGGGCAAGATGGAATCTGCAGTTAGGTCAGGTGTTAAATCTAGGTCTGGTATCATGGGCTCAAGCGATGCGGTTCTGGGCCTGTGGTTTTCTCTTTAACAAACTTTATAAGGTGGAATGTAGAGGGCTATGTGCTAACTCGCAGGCTCACTGCTCCATCTCTCACCAGCAAGTTTTTCCATTTCTTCTCTCTCTTTTTCAGTTTTACATATTTGTTTAAATTCTCCCCCCACCCCCAACTTTACTGAGGTATAATTGACAAATAAAAATTGTATATACTTAGGTTGTACAATGTCATTTTTTGTGTTTAAGGTGTACAGTGTGATGCTTTAATATACGTATACATTGTGAAAGTATATACCATAGAATATTATTTAGCTATAAAAAGGAAATCCTGTTATTTGTGACAACATGGATAAACCTGGAGGACATTATACTAAGTGAAATAAGCCAGACACAGAAAGACAAATACTGTGTGATCTCATTTCTACATGGAACCTAAAAAAAAGGTTTAACTCATAGAATCAGAGAAGAGTGGTGGTTGTTAGGGGCGGAGGGGTGGGAGAAATGGGGAGATAGTGGTTAAGGGGTACAAACTTTCAGTTAGGAGTAAGCTCTGGGCACCTAATGCAAAAGCACAGTGACTATAGTTAACAATACTGTGCTCTTAAGAGTGGATCTTAAGTGTTCTCACCACACACACACAAAAAGAAAAGTGAAATCAACCCATCAGTGCTTCCCTCTCCCCCCCTCTTGCTCTGTCTCTCTCTTCGGCTTGGGGGAGAGGCGTTCTCTGCAGTGCTGGATGTTCTGCCCACAGACTTTCCATTAACCTGCATCTGCAGGCCTGGCACATCCGAGCCCTGAGCCTCTCCAGGCCTCTGAGGGGAGCCGACCAATCTCGACCCCAACATCCACCACGCGCTCCGAAGCGCGGTCTCCTCCATTAGGTACCTGCTCCATCTCCCACTTTCAGTCTCCAGAAAGTTGGTAAGACCTCTGATCCACTGCTGCCTTCTATTTTTGTAGGTTTATAACTTTACCTTATTTTTAAGGGGTTGGAAGGAGAGGAGCTAAACACATGTGCTTAAACACTGTATTGAATTACAAGTTTGAAAGGTGTTTGGAACTCTTACCATTCCCAGCGCTCGTCTTCCTGCAGACGCGGGCTGCCATCTGGATCGTTTCTATTCTGCCCTGAGAACTTCCTAAGTATTTCCTGCAGTGCAGCTCTAGTGCCAACAAATTCCCTCAGCTTTTGTTTTTCTGAAAATGACCAAGTTTGGCCATCATTTTTCTATTTGAAAAAATTACTTTGAATTAATTTTAAGCTTACAGAAAATTGCAAGAATATTACTAAGAACCCCCAAGTACCCTTTTCAGGTGGTGGAATTTAATTGCCACATTTGCTTACTCATTCTCTCTGTGTGCGTATTGCATATACATTATACATTATAATTTTTAATATATATAATATAATCTTGTACAATATACACGTTATACATAATTTATAACCATTTGAAAATTATAAGATATAATGACCCAGATTCAGAGAATTAACATTGAAACAACACTATCATCTAACCCACAGATCTATACTCAAATTTCACTGATTGTCCTGATAATGTTCTTTATACGTCTACAATCCAATCCCAGGTTCAAGTTGCATTTGGTTATCAAGTCTCTTTAATGTCCTTCAATCTGAAAGATTACCTCTGCTTTTGTCTTCCAGGACTTTGGCATTTTTGCTGAGTACAAGCCAGTTATTTACTGCAGAATATTGCTCACTTGGGTTTGTCTGATATGTCCTCATTTTTCAAGAGTTTTATTCGTGTGTTTGTTTGTTAGAAATAACACGGAAGTGGTGCTGTGTCCTTCTCAGTCCATCCTATCAAGAGGCACACAATGTCAACTGTCCTCATTACTGCTACTGTCAACTTTCACTACTTGGTTAAGATGGTGTACGTCCCTACATAGCCAAAACGATCTTGAGAAAGGAGGACAACGCTGGAGGGCTCACACTTTCCAATTACAAAGCTACAGTAATCAAAACAGCGTGGTACTGGCATACAGACAGACATACAGACCCACACAATAGACTAAAAAGCCCCAAAATAAACCCTCACATATACAGCCAAATGATTTTCTACAAGCGTGCCAAGACCATTCAATGGGGAACAGACAGTCTTTTCAATAAATGATGCTGGGAACACTGGATATTCATATGCAAAAGAATGAAGTTGGGCTCTTCCTTTATATCATATGCAAAAATTAACTCAAACTGAATCAAAGAGCTAAAGGTAAGAGCTAAAACTATAAACTCTTACAAGAAAGCATAAGCTTCATGACATTGGACTTGGCAGTGATTTCTTGGATATCATATCAAAAGCACAGGCAATGACAAAATTAGATAAATTAGACTACATCAAAATTTAAAACTTCCGTACATCATAGGACAGGATCAAGAGAGTGAAAAGGCAACCTCCGGAATAAGAGAAAATATTTGCAAATCCTGTATCTGATAAGGGGCTAATATCTAAAATTAATAAAGAATTCCTACAGCCCTAGCTGGTTGGGCTCAGTGGTTAAAGTGCCAGCCAGTGGACTGAGGGGTCCCAGGTTCAATTCTAGCCAAGGGCACATACATCGGCTGCAGGCTCAATCTCCAGCCCTGATTGGGGCACGAGTCAGAAGCAACCAATCTATGTGTCTCTCTCACATCGATGTTTCTCTCTCTCCCTTCCATTCTCTCTGAAAAAGAAAAATTAAAAAAGAAGTCTGTAAGCAATATCATTTTGCGTTTGTCTTCCCACCCCTTTAGCAAAATACGAGTATTGGTACAAATGGCATACATGTTAAAGCACCTAAGAATTGTGATAGGTGTTTTAAAAGTAAGAGTCAAGGAATACATTTCTGAACTAGATGTTTCTAGATATCAAAAAGAAACGTTCAGTTAAATGTTAGGAAAACAGAGTATGCCATCTTGGAAAATATACTTTTAAATTATGAGAAAAATAGCCTTAAGCAAGCCACATACAGGTTTTTTCCTCATACTTTTTTAAACTGTTGTTTTGGAACCAACTTGTCATTCCTTTGTGTTTACGCACACACATTAGTCAGAACACGGGGCTGATGTTAACACAAACACTGCCAATCAAAGCTCAAGGTAAATGTATTATTTTTTCATTAGTTAATCCTAGGATCTTGGAAGTACGGTAGAATCACACTCATCAGAGGGTCTCAAGGGACACATAAAGTTTTCAAATACACGAGGATTTGGATAAGGTAACCTGGCAAACAGAACTTTGAACTTGGCAGCGGAGATTGCTGCAGCTCCAGCACAGATTCAGAGAGTGTCCTTCCCATCTCCCTTGGTTTATGAAAGGCCAACTACTGTGGCCAAGTCGTCCCACTAAACAAGAATGTTGTGTTCCAGGTTCACTGAATTTGGAGTTTTAAGAATAGGTTGTTTTTCCTCTTCATTGGTGAGCTAGGGTTGGAGAAAGCCAAGAGTCAAAAACTTCAGGAGCTACAAAGTGCAGTGCTTATACCACCCAACTATTTTTTCAAAGGTTTTAAACCTACTAAAAGACTGACCCCTACGTGCTGCTCAAAAAAACACTGAAATGGCCTCTACTGTCACCATCACCAGACAGCATGCGTAGACGGCGACCTTAGACTCAACCAACAATATACGGCACCTTCTAAATCTGCTAAAAGCTTAGTAGGCAAATTAACACAAGTAATTTTAAGTTTATTCAATTCCAGCTAAAATATGATGGATGCACAAAGTACTGACCAAAGTCTTTTGAGACGTTGGCCGTAGACAAAGCTTCTTCAAGCATAAAGCTGCAGATCTGAGCTTGGCTGTATGGGTAGGATTCCCAGGCAGGCCAAAGCCCTATGGAATTGGAATTTGTCCCTTAATGTTGCTTAATTCATTCATAAGGATTTACAAAGCCCATGGAATTGTCCATTTTGTAAAACTGGAATGCTGTTGGCCTAAGCATTACTTGGGATTTCTTCTTTTTTTTAATCCTAAAATTACTTTTTAAAAAAATCCAATAAAAGAGATTTCATATTTGTTGCATTGAAAGGTTTGAGCTTCATGATTACCAGTCCTGGCAGCAGATAGTGTAAACAGCCTTCCTTAAATGTATTTTGATTAAATGTATCGAGAGTCCCACTTAAGATGCATTTTGCCTTGTTCAATACGGTACTAGACATGGGTGGAAGAACAGCAGGTATTTTTCCAAGCAGGAGGCATGAGATTGCTAAAATCCTCAGCCTCCACCACAACATTAATTAGTATGTTTCACCAACCAAGGCTGTAAGATTTGTAAATGAAATTCAAGAAGGGGCACCAAGCTAGAACAGGATGTGGAAGCCAAATGGAAAACATGAACCAATAAAAGAAAAAAGCTAAAGTAACCAGAAGTCTAAGTTTAGTTTCTGAAGTCAGTTCAAGTCTCTCATGCTTTGATTCTGATGTAATCTTAAGATGGTGGGTACAAACAAGAACTCAGAAACAGCTTTTGTAGCTTTTGGACCAACTGCACATGAATCAGTTTGTTGATGGCTCTAATTACACAGTGGTCTTGCTGAATTACATCTGAATTAAAATTGTCATTCTTTAGGCTGAAATATAATAATGAATACTTATCAACAAGAATAGCCATCCTCCAAACACTTACAAACCTTTTTGCACATTATGTTACATCTTGTTGATATATCACATTATTTGTCCTAACATCGGCGAGGCACACGTCGCAGCACGCTAGCGCATTCTTCCTGTATGACAATGTGTTTGTTTCTTGTTTGTCCTGTCATTTGTCTCATTTCACATTCTAGTTAATGAGATGATTGCTTTCCTGTGTGCAAGAATATTTTTCTGAGAAGAGATAATTCTCTGGATTTTAAAAATATTGCATTTCTTGCAGGATGGGAACTTCAAGCACATATGACATAAAAGGACCATGCCCATGTTCGTTTTAATGGACAAAAAAATTCTTCAATTAGATTCACAATCTATGAAGAGCATTCTTCCTGTCTGCTGACAAGTCTTAAAAATAGATAGTACACAAAGTGAAAAAGATGTACGCTGATTTTTTTGTAACCATCCATTTAAAGTCCTCGGATGGAGTGTTATCACTATGTATAGTGTTTTTCCCATGAGCGAAATTAATTATTCTTTGAAAGAAATTTAAGCTGTTTTCTTCCTTTGATGATAAATGGAAAAGTTTAGTACATAAATGTTACTTTAACTTAAAAAGAAGGTACATAAAATAAAAAACAGATCTGATTTAAAACACTATACATGAGCTCTGGCCAGGGAGCTCAGGTGGTTGGAGCATTGTCCGGATATGCCAGGGTTTCGGGTTCAATCCCCGATCAGGACACATACAAGAGTCAACCAATGATGCATAAATAAGTGGAGCTGCAAATCTCTCCCCCCCCACCAAATCAATTAAAAAATATATTATACACAATCTCAGTACTCTTATGATGGAAACTGAATTGGGTGGATGTTTATTTATAGAATGTATATATGAATAATTAACAAATAAGGGCACCCAAGCAAGAACTACGATTTTATAGGAATTGGATATTCCACATGTGCAGTGCAGAGCGACGCAAGGCAGTCCTACTGTATTTACACTAGAAAACAGCCACTAAGAGTTAGTTTTAATTTCTAATTCAGTAAATATCAATAGACATAAATCACATAAGCAGAAGATCTTCAGGTTCCTTAATACCTTTAAGACCAAAAAATTGAGACTCTCTGGTTTTATTGCAGGTGGGGCAAGATGATAGATATGGTAGAAAGTGTGAGTTGATAGACATACTTGATGACAAGGTTTATGATCTTTTTCCTGTATGAAAGGGAATCATTGTAATAGCCCTTTGCTAATACCAGAAAACACTTCAAATACAAATGAAAAACAAAGATACACACATACTTCTTTGGTGTGTTAATATTTTTACATTTATCTCTATTATTGAAAGTATTACAGATGTCCCCCTTTTCCCCCTCCATCGGCCCCCTCCATTCTGCTCCCTCCCCCTCCCCAGGCCTTCACCACACTATTATGCATATATGCATATAAATTTTTTGGTTAATCTCTTCTCTCCCCCCATTGCCCCCACCCCTTCCCTCTTAAATATGTCAGTCTACTGCATGCTTCAATGTCTCTGGGTCTATTTTGTTTGTCAGGGCTTTTTCGTTACTTTCAGTAATTTTTTGCAAATGATTTTATGGAAGTATAATTTACATACCATAAAATTCACTCATTTTAGGACTCAATGATTTTTTTAAAGCAAATCTAGGGAGCATTGCAACCATCACCACAGTGCAGTTTTGGAACATTTCTATCACCCCAAAGAGATCCCTTACCCATTTCCAATTAATCCCTGTTTCCATCCTAGGCCCCAGGCAACCACTACCTAGTTTCTATCTCTACAGATTTGCCTTTTCTGGACATTTTATATAAATGGATCATATAATAAATGCTATTTGTCTGTCTTCTTTCACTTAGCATAATGTTTTTCAAGTTTGTGTATGTTGCAGCATGTATCAGTGGTGTGTTCTTTTTATTGTTGGGTAGCATTCCATTGTGCATATGTGCAATGTTTTGTTTATACTTTCATCGGTTGATTGGTTTTGTGTAGTGTTCACATTTTGGCTCTTATGAATATTAGCATACAAATTTTTGTGGGGAAATGTTTTTATTTCTCTTGTGTAGATTCTTAAAAGTTGAATTGCTAAGTAGTGTAATACTGGTGTACATTGTTTTTCATCTTTGCTGTCTCTTTAAGCAGTCCAGTGTGCCACAAAATTATTTTAAGGTATTTCCTATAAGAATTGTTTTAAAAGTGTTCTTGTTATAAGAGTAGTTGTAGATATACTGCAAATATAACTGGTGAATTTTAAAAGCCCAAGTACTGACCTAAGAAGCAATTTTATGGATTCTACTTTGGAGAGAAGGGACAAGAATTACATTTGACTTTTCTTCAGAAACCATGCAAGTAAGAAGAAAGTGGAGTGAAATATTTGAAGTGTTGAAAGAACCCCACTAACACAGAATTCTACATCCAGTGGAATGATCCTTCAAAGTGAAGAAAAACTACAGACTTTCGAAGGCAAAGAAATGCTGAGAGAATGTGTCACGCTTATCACCTTGGCTCAGAGCCCTAATTAGACATGCCTTGCAGGAAATGTTGAAAGAAGTTCTTTAGAGAGAAGGGAAATGATACAGGTAAAAAACTCATCTATATAAAGAAGGAAAGAGCATTAAAAAAGGAATAAATCATGGTAAAATGTTTTGTTTTTCTTCTTAATTGACCTAACAGAAAATGGTTTGTTTAAAATCATAATAGCAACAATGCACTCAGTGATTGTAGCTTATTAGTAAGTAAAATGAATTGGCAGCGTGTGATAAGGGACAGGAGGGAGGCCTTAGATATATTCTGCTATAAGGTACTCACACGACCCATGAAGCAGTAGAGTTTATTTGAAAGTAGACTTTTATTAGCTGTAAATGTATATTGCAAACTCTAGGGAAACCAGTAAGAATATTTAAAAAATAAGTATAACTGATATGCTGAGAGAGGAGAGCAAATGGAATCACATAAAATACTCAATTAAACAAAACAAAGCAAAAGGCAGAAAAAGAGTGGAATACAAAAAAAAAGAAACAAGGGCAACAAATGGAAAACAGAAACTTCACGGCCACTACGAGTTGTGGGGCAGGGTGGGGGCAGAGGAAACTACAGAGTTCCAGTGCTTTTTAGAGCCACTGCTTTACAAAAGATCATCTCTGAAGTGTGCCTACTGATGCTTTCCCTCTTTAAAATGCCTAACTCTTTAGAGAATTAGAAATGGCAGTTCTGACTTCGAAAAAACTTTCTGAGACTGTATTCAAGTGGAAGTGTACATCGCAATCCTGTAACCCAGGCCATAGGCCTTGGGCCTTCCGAGTCCTGGAGCCTATGAACAGAGCAGGTTCATCCACCAGGTCATTTCTTACATTCCCCTTTCCCTCCAGGGAAGATAAGCATGTATGACCGGTTCTCTCTGCTACAGGTGGAACTCCAGTTAATAAAAAGGGCTTTTACCTTTTAAGACTCTTCTCTCGCTACAGTTTATCACAAAGAGTGGCCTGTGGAACACCTGAATCAGAATCACCTAGGATGTCTGTTAAAGAGGGAAATTCCTGGGTCCTGCCAAAAAACTACTGAGTCAGACATTCAGAGAGTGCATTGCTAGCAAATGTCACAAATGAGTCTTACGTACACTAAAGTTTGAGAACCACTGTTTTAATATATGGTTCCTTTAGAGTTGGAGATAGGGATGGGGTGGGGAAGGCTCTTCCCTTTATGTTTTGGGCCAATTTTATTGCTAGGAATATCTGTTCCCTAACCACCTGTTAAATATATCTGCTAACCAACTATAGTAATGCTCATGGAATATTTGTTGAAAAATTACTTGAGGAGCATGATACTTCCTTAAGCTCCATAATAAACAAAACATTTTTAACTTTCTAACCTAGCTAGAAGTAGTTTTATCCTAAATAAGTTTTCAAATTTTTTATAGGCTGTATGTCATGTGTGCAGAATAGCTATAATTTTTAAATGGTGGGAGTAAAACAAGCCAAACTTTATTTAGGTGGACGGCTTGCTCTAATGAAAACCATCAAAGAATCACTTGAGCTTCCATGTCAGTTTAAATTTGGTTTAAAGAATTTCCTGCAAAAGAAAAATAAATGGTTGAAAACATAAGTAGCTATAGAAATATAAATCCAAAACAAACCAAGAAACCTAACATAGAGTTGTAATAAGGGTAAAAAAATTAACAGATGTGTCAGTACATTCTACACGGGAGGTTGGCCTAAGGGGTAGGGAACTGAGCGAATGGTGCAGTGGCTCCGATAAACCAGAAGAGAAAAAGATGAGCAGCCTCAGAGCATCAAGATCTGCTCATCAAACCCTCCCAAGAATCAGGAAACTAAGGACTTTGAGATATAAAAACGTAAGCTACAAGACAGAAAACAGAAGGGGACTTTTACTGGTTCTTCAAGTACTGGGTCAATGGGTGACACGTGAGCTACGTCATTGTAGCGACCACTTTATAGGGACATTGCTCACTCGAGCATAATCTCCGATCACAGTCCTTTTCCGACTGTACCTTCCAGAAGGGAGGCGAAGTGCTCCAACTCACAGATTTGTTAGCAGGGTGTGTGCGTGCGTTTGGCATGTGTGAGTTTATCTGGTGTGTGTGCGTGTTTGATGTGCGTGGTTGTGCATGTATTTTTGTGTGTACGTGCGCACCTGTGAAAGGGCACGAGCATGTGTTAGAGGGGCCTGGGTGAGGCTGACCGGCTTTCAGTCCCACTCACCTTGCATCTCTCACATCAGGTCTGCACCCACGTGATGCTGTCACTCTGGAAATGGGACGGAGTGTTAGGTGTATGTCTTTTCTCCTCAGCAGAGAGAGAGAGAGAGAACGCACGCGCACACGCACACACACACACGCGCGCGTGCGCGCGAGCGTGCATAGCAATTCTCTGAACTCTCGGGTCAGATCAGGGGTGCAGGACTCAGTCCCCACCCATCCCGCCCCCTGTACTCCCAACGGCCAGGACAAGGCGACACAAACGAGAAGGAAGAGCTGAAGACAGACTGACAGAGCACCCTGGAAACTCACTCTGGATGTTGTGGGAAGATGAGGTCTTCTTCAAAGACCCACCTGAAGAAGTAGGCTTAACATTTGTTAAAGATGGTGCCCCTGCGCAGAAATAAGAGAAATGGGGACAGTCACACTCGTCAGCAAAGTCCTCTAAAACCAACCCGGGGTGGGAGATAACGAACAGCCTGTCAGCAGAAGCAGAAAGTACCTGAAAACAACTTCTTTTCCAGTTCTTCTTGAACCTTAATGAGAATCCTTTCCTGTTCTAAGGCTTCTATGTACTTTGAGTAGCACCAGGTTGGCTAGAAAAACGATTTTCAAAGTGAATTTTAGAAATAGTTGCCCCAGAAAATAAACTGAAGGTAAGATGATAACTTATATCAGCCCCTTCATTTGAACACCTTATTGCCATATAACGTGATAAAACATGCGCATATCATAAATTTATAATTATATAAAATTTCCCAAGTGGAGCTTAACCGTTTAACCTTTTAACTGGTCACCACAAGTTAACAATCTGCCTTAAACCATTTAATAAGAATGTGTGCGATAAACTAAAGGTACTTTTCTCTACAGCCTTGACTTAAAATTTTAAATTCCCTGGCCCAGGCTGGGAGTGGCTGGGAGTGAGGAGGAGGGTTCGCAGCTTCTCAGTGAGGCGGTGCCTCAGAAGCTTCCCGAATTTCCTGCCAGCTACTCAGTCACCGTTATAGGCTGGATGTGATTATGAATTCAGGTGCTTAGGAAAGATCCACATTTTTCGGGGGGGCTAGTTTTGCCTTTGGGTTGATTACAATCCTTCAATTTGTAAAATCTATCTGAAACAAATGCTTGTACAGAGCATTCCACACTTACTAAATGCAGTGGATTATTTTGACAATTCCTGGAGTAATTCAACAAGTATACATTAAAGAGCAATAATGAAAACAACAACAATAATAATTTATATTTATAAAAATGCCTTTGGTCTCCAAAAGTGTTTAGTTTCTTAATCTTGAGATATATGACAATACCATCATCATCATCACCCCTTTCTCTTTTTAACAGCTAGGAACAAGGCCTCACAGGAATTAAGTCATTTCTCTCAGGCTTCCAGTAATACTGACTTGCAAGTGTCAAAGTAAAAATTAGAAGCCTAGTATTTCTAATTCCACATTTCTCCCTTTTACACTGTTTCTGAAATTTAATGCTAGGCATTGGCTAATAAATGTACTTCCAAATGTCATTATTAGGTATCATGCACTTTTAGATACTGCTTTTTTCAATGTATGGTTCTAAAAAATTGGACGTTTCTCTTCTCTCAATAAAAGCTTCATAGCCTATCAGTAGTCTTAGCTGGGTAGCTGAACTTCCTTGACATTCCTGAATATAAAAAAGATTGATATTCAGGATATCAATCTTTTTTTATTTAAGATGCAACCACTTTCAAGAGAAGTCATTAGAAATGGACATAAATTAAACTTATGAAATTTCACAGAAGTGATGTTAATGTACAAGTTATAAATGTAAATACATATTAGTTGATGGTCATGTACTGGTCAATTTTATGACCACTTCAAAGGATTTAAAAATTGAAACAAAGCATTTGCCACTCTCCTCTCTTAACCCAAGAATATATCAACCTATATACATATAGATTCTATTTTGTTCTATATCTTTCTTATTCTATTTTCCAATAAAACAGTCACTTCAACTTCTGCCTCTTAAATCTTCATATGTACCAAAAAATTATTTTCCTTGATTATATTGTACAGGTTCAGCTGAAATTTTAATGTTCTCTGGAATCTCAAGGAAATCCCTTCCCATCTCTTCTAGTATTACAATTTTAGCCTCATTTTTAAAAAAACACACCTCTACTACTGTAAAATGACTGAGCTACTGCATTCCCCCATCCAGTGCTCTGTAGACATCATCTTCTGTGCTTACCTGTTGGCCGTATGCTAAAGACAGGTCACTGGTCAAAGCAGCTGATTTGGTAGCAGTTCCTGAAATACCTGTACCATATTTGATTCCATCCTGTAATTACATTAAATTATTCTAAAAAGGGGGCTATATTAATATAAACTTACAGTTAAAGGAGTCATAATAGCATATGAAAAAATATTTTGTGGTGAGCACCACACCTGATGTTTCATTAAGTTGATATCACTAATGTGACATAATCTGCTGTTTTGATGGATGTCTCTCACATCGATGTTTCTGTCTCCTCCCTCCCTTCCTCCCTTCCTCTGTCCCTTCCTTTCACTCTCTCTAAAAAAAAGCAATGGAAAAAATATCCTTGGGGGAGGATTAACAAAAAATCAAGTCAGCTGGCATCTTGATCTGGGACTTCCAGCCTAAGAACCATGAGAAAATGAATTTCTGATGTTTAAGCCACCCGGTCTGTGGTATTTTCTTATGGGAGTCTTAGCAGACCAACACAGTATGGTACCATTTACGTAAGTTAAAATATGTACAAAATAGTCCTCTGTGTTGTTTATAAACTCATATACGTGTGTAAAACACTATCTTTAAAAAGAGATAGAATATATTCCAAAATTAATGGTTACTGTTGGGGATGGGGGGTTCATAGAACTCAGGGCTGGGATAAGAGAATCTACTCTTTCTGCAAAATAGTATTTCTTAAGAGAGAAAAAGCAAATGAAGTAGAATGTTAGTGTTTATTTTGACCTGTGTAGATATGAGTGTTCAACACATAACTTTTGTATCTTTTCATAGTCTTTGTGGATGAAAAAGGGGCATTGGAATAATTCTAACTTGAAAAAAGTAACCTCACAGGGTGATCTCATCATAAATTCCTAACTGGGCAGGTCATGGTGGGTAGTCAGGCCCCAGCCATATAACTTCTTTAGTAAAAGGTTTATCTTTGCCTTAAACAAGCCCTGTCCATTGTAGGTTAACACACCTTTGAAAAGCCTTTTTCTCATACTCCTCAGAAGTGTAATCACCCTCAAAAGAGCAAATAATCTTAACTATCCTGTAGTCCAATCCCTGCCTTGCTTCCTCCCACCTTCGTGTAATCTTTCTTAGTTCCTTACACTCCTTCCTTAATTCCAAATACATAAAAGAAACTGCAAACTGTCATACTCTGAAGCATTTTTCTCAGTCTGTTGAGATCTTACTTCCAGAAGTATCTTAATTTGGCTCAAATAAACTCTAATTAACTCTTATAAAATTTTTCTATAAGTTTGGACAACCTTATGTCAACATCTTTACATTTATTTTTTAAAGTAGAATAGGCATAAGCTTATAAATAAGATAAAATGCATTATTTGGGAACTATTACCCCTCTTCAATTAAAATAGAGAATTATAAAGAAAGATGGGTAGATGAATTATAAAGAAAGATGGTTGAATGAGTGGACAGACTAGCAGACACACAGGCAGGCTGAACAATTTATGATTCATGTGTACAAATTTCAGTCAATGATGTATCAGTCTGCAATCGTAATACTGAAAGTGCTGCCCTCAGTACATAATATTTGTTCACTCACTCACTCATTCATTCATTTAGTATACAATTAGTAATTATCGAGCATGTGCTAGACACTGGTGTAAGTGCTTATGAGACACAGAGGAAAAAGCCAGACACTGTCCTGGAGGATCTCGGTCCAGTGAGGACAGCAAGCGCAAACACATATTCCTAAGACAATATAAAGTGTTCTCCAAGAGAGGGTCCTACATGTGACTACAGTGGGTGTGAGTTCTTGAGTTGCCTAGGAGAGTGTCAAGGAAGCCTTCACACAGAAGAGATGATATTTGAGATAAATTTTAAGGAATTAAAACCAAGTCTGAAACCTCCAACTGAAGGCTTAAAAGCCTCTAAAGTTTGTATTCTGTAACTTTGCTGTATTTTTCTCTGGCTCAAATTTCTCTATAAATTCACACAAATCACGTACCTTTTATAAGTCTGATTAAACCCCAAATGAGTCTAGTCTCACCTTTGAAAATTTCTCATCTTCTGTGGCTGCCAGTTTCTTTTTCTGCTTAATATATTCTCTCCTTCTCTCTAAAGCACTCATAATATTTTCGTCAGTTAAGTTCTTCCTAAACTCACAAAACTGAGGCCAAAATTTAAACAGAACTCCAAAAATTGTCATCTGTATAAAAAACAAGGTATGTCTCAGATTACAATTTTATACAAATGTACCATTTTAAATGCTAATTCACAATAATGGATTAACTATTGTATCTTTAATATACAGCACGTTTCCTCCAACTTATTGTCTCCAGACATCTTGGTACAGTTTTAGCTCAGCACATGCTTATCATCAATGTTTTTTACTGCCAATGAGAAGCCTTTCTTTAAAAAAAAATCTTAAATACACTTAAAAGTTACTTTATTCTTTATGTTTCCCTAACCAATTGATTGTATTAATAAAGAATCCATTAGGTCTTTTTAAATAAGAAATTTATGTTTTCTTTTAAAACATATACTAGCGGATCTGCCACACACTCTGCTGCTTTATGCAAGTATCCCAAATATTCGGTCCATCAAGGGGAAACTCCTCTCCCCCTCCCCTTTCCTTCTTTCAGAGAAAGGAAATACCATTTACCTCTGGAAAAGCTCTTAAACAAAGCTGCAGATCTAAGAATAAATCTTGAGTAACTTTTAAATGATACAATCTCTCTTTTATGTGAGAGCAAGAAAAGTAACATTTAAAAAGCAGAGTGGTATCCTGGACAAATGCTTTCTATGAGGACACTGTACAGTAAGTGATTAATTGTGATATTTATGGAGATAAGAATTGTTGCTCAAAGTCCCATGCCAAGTTTTTCCATTAGTTCCAGAGGCATACATTACTTCCAAGAAGGTAGGACTTGCCACATCAGATCAAGTCCAACATTTTGTTGCTAGGAATGGCCTTTCTCTAATGCCCTGGAGGAAAATGAACCATCCCATTAGGCTCCAAGCCAACTCTTCCGAAGGAAAGAGGAGTTTTTAAAAAGCAAATGCTGCAGTGATCAGCAGAGTGCTGAATTAGTTACGTTTCATGACTCCTCTTTTCTGTACATGGATATTATTAGTAATTCTAAAATTATTTACTCCTTTTAAAATACTACTTTGTCACTGGATTCTGTAGCCTCTTGGGATTGTGAACACAAAAGCGGGAGATACTTTATTTGATAAAATGCAGGCCTTTAAATTGTTTTCATTTACCTGCCATGCTTTAATTCAGTAAGCCCCTGCTCCACTGTTCAGGGATCTTGATAGTTTTTATGTGAACTTCTTAAACTTAAATACCCCTCCTTCTCTATTTACCAACTACTGACCCCACTTTTCAGTTGTCTAAAATCTGAGTCATTCCCAACTCTCAGATATATTTGTTTCCATTTAGAAGGCCTTCCAGTAAAAGTCAGCTAATTAACACAGAATTTTTCAAAGGCAGACATACAATTGCTCTATTTCTAAAAGATGCAATTAAGATTTTAGGTTAGTAACTTATGTGTTATTCATGAAAATGACCTGGTACCTCCAGAGCCTTAAAAGATAGCCAAACTATGGCTAAGAAAATGTTTTAATAAATATAGAGCCATTTTGCTCGCTGCCAGCAGATTGACAATGGCTTTAGTATGAGTGAAAGGTCCAGTGATGAGAACTTCAGCTGAGCAATGAGGGATGCAGGTGGGTGACAGGCAGAGGCAACACTGATAACAAGGCTAAAACAGGCAACAGTTTTAAATTTACTACTCAGCCCTCCTGCTCAACTTGGCTCTCATTTCCAACTCGACCTTCCTCCTTCCTGCTGTGACAGATGTCCTCTCACATCACTCACTCACATGTTCAAAAACGTCACTCCCAGGCCAGGAATTCAGGCCACGAAGGAAAATGAGAAACAGGCCCTGCCCTCAAAGACCTTCCAGTCTAACAGGAAAGTGAGGCACGGAAAGGTCATTTTCAATCTTGTATAATAGGTCTCTGAAAGGGACAAATCTGGGATATTACAAAAGCACAGGAAGAGAGGAAGTTACTGCAAAAAGCTCAGGAGGGAAGAGAGTGAAGCCACTTCATGGGACCATAAATATGCCAGTGAGACTGGGAGGTACATGGTGAGAGACGTGTTAGAGGGAGGTGTCGGAAGGAGTACAATCTCCCATCTGAGGACACTGGGAGCGACTGTAACTGAAAGCAGAGAAGTGGCATGATCAGATAGGCATTTTGAAAAAGACTGCTCTGTCTCAGAAAGTTAAATGGCTTAGAGAGTGCCCAGAGGCTGGGAGGCTGGGTCATCATTGTGAGGCTCTGCAGATACCACTGAGGTAGTGGCACAAAGCTGGAGAGCAGTAGAAAGAATGACAGATAACAAGGAGACAAAGGGACACCTTTCAGGGACTGAAGATCTAAGGGTAAGAGAGTGCAGGAGAGGGAAGACCTGAAGATGGCAACCAGACCTCTGGCCTGTCATTCCCTGAGCTCCCTTAGGAAACACAGGACGAATAACAGATTTGGTGGGGTAAGGCCCCTAAATAAATATCCTCTTACTTTTCTGACGCTCCAACATCCATATTTAAGATATGGGCCTGGGGCTCCATTTTAGGACATCGGGTAGAAGGCATAAACTAGAGGAACCCAGCAAGTTCACAGCCGCAGTCCCTGGACAGTGCGGCAAACCAACGGGAGTGAGCAGCTCCAGACGTTCACAGTCAGACTCAGGGCCCTTGATCTAGGTGGGCAGCCCTGGCCTGGTTATCAGCAGGCTTGGACCAGGCTGAGTGATCTCTCAGATCTTTTCATTAACAGATGCTACGACTCTGGCACCGTGTTTTCTCTATTTCTCTCTAGCACATCCTCAATCATTCCTCTATATTTTCGCCTATTTTAATGCATAATTTGGATTGCGAGCCCACTCTCAGGTCCTCAGAGGACTTAGAACACAGCTGGCTCACAAATGAATGTTACAGAGTAATGGCCTTTTTCCACGCTCAAGGGCAATCATACCCTAAATCTCTGTTTCATATCACTTAAGTCATGACATGGCCTTCCCTATTACCTCTATTATAATTTATTTTTCTTAACCATTTTTCAGGAACAACATCAGTAAAAGGCTTTTCAAAATGCAAATAAATTATGTTCACCAAATCACTGTTTTCTATTATTTATCTTAAAAAGAAGTAACGTGAGCAGGTTAACAGGCATGATTTTCCTTTCATGAGCTTGTGCACTTTATGCTGGTCGGGTACTTAAATCTCCTCTCACTTCTTTTATGAGCTATGTGAATATTCCAATCTTTAAAAATACACAAATCTTGGGACACACATATGCCACACATTTTTGTGGTAGCAGATATTTTAAGAGGAAATATGAATGGTGGGAAAGGAAGGAGCTTATTTTCTAAATTAGAAACAAAAAATGATAGTATTTAGTAATTGTATTTGTTGTATATTATCAACAAGATAGTGAACTACTAGTTTCTTATGTTCTGTGGCATCTGCAAAAGTTTTTTTAATTAAAGAGAATAAATCCCAGTATTAGAAGGACTGGAGCCTTGCCAAATATGAACGATGCAAAAGCTTTGAAAGAATGTCTATATTGTCAAACTGTTTAAAAATATGCGTAGCCAGGTGCCCCGATCTCTTACCTGTGCCTCTCTAAATACATATGGTCCTAACTCCTTCCTGTGTTCAATAATCTTCTGGGCTTGCTCTACCGGAATGTCAATTTGCAAAGCTGGTGGAATGATGGAATTAATAAAGCAGTTGATGATAGTCATGGTCTTCTTGTGGATGATGGATTCATCACAATGAGAATGGCACAAGTCCTGGAGAGGAGGGAAGATAGAACAATACATGACTAATGTATTACCAGAACACTTTATAGAATTCTGCCAATATGTCTTTCAGCTAATACATACTTTTTAAAAACTGAGTTTTGGAGAGGTGGGGGAGGGGAGAGACAGAGAGAGAAGCATCAATTTGCTGTTCCACTTGTTGATGCATCATCGGTCGCTTGTTGCATGCGCCCTGACTGGGGTCAAACCTGCAACCTTGGCGTATTGGGACGACGCTCTAACCAACTGAGCTACCCAGCCAGGGCCTAAGGCATACATTTTAACTTCAGGTCAAGAGGGTACTGGGACATGCCAAGGCTATCTTAAAAAAACCATACCTTTTATTTCTCTTGGGTTTGAGGCACCTACGTCTTTGATGAATATAATGTACCTTACGTAAATACAGGTTTCACTTTATCCTGATTGCTGCTTCTCCTATGCAAAGGAACAGATCTAGTGTTTACTTTGATTTATTTAACAAATTTATGTTGAGTGCCTGCTATATGCAGACACTGAGCTGAGCCCCATTTACAGTGCCTGTCCTTTAAAAGGCTCGATTTCCACCAGATGAGGAGCACAATAGCATGTTGCTACGATAAAGGTGCGCGCAGCCTTCCAGGAGAGCCCCAAGAACAGGCACCTAACTCTACCTACAAGTGGCTACACCAGCTTCCTCTGCCGTAACTGCCTCCACACCGGGAGGCTTAGGCTCACAAGGGCCAGCTACGTAGGCTACAAGCTGGTGGCGACAGGGGTGTCCGCATGCATCTCTATTTTTTAATTAATCTATTACCTTCTCTTTATTGTAAAGAACTTAAAAATAGTGATTGCATGTTAAAAAGGCCCAGTTTTATGTCACAGATGTAGGGTTTTTTTTTCTTTTTTTTAAATAAAGAGGTAGCTTAGCTTGGATTACAACATTTGTCTGTCATAGACATTGTTCTAGAAATCACAAGAAAGCACACATATTTGGAAGCAGTTCTAGGGCAGAAATGAGCCAACATTTATTAACTACTCACTGCACGATGGGCATTGTAATAACACATCTTATGGATACTATTAAAGCAAAGAGAATTCTAGTGTTTGCCATATAAAACTTCACATACAGTTTGGCATAAGGTATATGTGAAAAGAGCTTGATCTGTTACATGGAGACAATAGTTAGCATTTTTTACTCAATTTAGTATCCCCTCAAAAAGTGCCTATTTATACCACATGTTTGGCATGTTACCAAAATGTGTTTTTTTTGCCATTACTAGTGAGATTATCATAATAATTATTCAGTGAGCCTAGTTCATAACTATGAAATGCAAGGCTTGTGAAATAAAAACAAATTTGTAAAGTTATACAGTTTAATTTTGAGAGTGAAGGGATAGACTTTAGACAATGAAAATTCATTTTTCCTAACTGTTCTGTCCTATTATACATTAGCCTCGTGAACTTTTACCTGTCATTTAAGTCTCTGTGTAAGCATGCCTTCCCTAGCAAGCTTTCCGTGACTCCCTCAGTCCAGGAGAGGTTTCTACCTTAGGTACCTGGTTGCAATCTGTGCTTCTGCAGGCACTGCACTAAACACACAGTTGTAATCACCTTGTCTGTCCCTGGTCTGTCCCTCCCATGACACTGTAAGCTTTCTGAGAGGGAGACTGTTTTGGTCACAGCTGAATCCTCAGGATTTAGCCTAGCCCTTAGTAGGTGCTCAATAAGTACTTATTGGATGAATATGTGCTTCCAGTCTTTTCTCTATGGAGAAACACACGCCATTTTATTTATTATTTATTTATTTTTATTTATTTATTTATTTGTTTATTTATTTGTTATTGTTAACCCTCACCCGAGAATATTTTCCCATTGATTTTTCAGAGTGGGAGGGAGAGAGAAACAGGGACGTGAAAGAGACACATCGATTGGTCGCCTTCCGCATGCACCCGACCAGAGTTAGGGATCGAGCCTGTTACCCAGGTACATGCCCTTGACCCGAATGGAACCTGAGACCCTTCAGTCCAGGGGCCGATGCTCTAACCACTGAGCAAAACCGCCACGGCACACACACTGCTTTATATTAAATCATACTGTTTCCTAGTAGCTAGGTTTTAAAAAAATCAATAAAGTAAGTATCTTCTCATCATTGATTATTTCCCCACAGCACAACTGTTAACAGCTGCAGAGCAGTCTACTGTACAGATGCATCATGATTCAGTACCCAGTGTCCTGTGTTGAATATCTGGGTTCTTTCCAGTTTTTCACAGCTCAGAACAATCTGATTAAGGTCACTGGAGCCACCTTTTTGCATAGTACCACAGTCATTACTGAAAGGAGCATAATTTGGTGGATAAGGGCATGCGTGTCAGCAACAGAATGCCCAGCCCTGCCACCTAATTAGCTGTATGATGCCAAGTTTCTTAATTTCTCTACGCCTTAGCTTCATCTGTAAAATGGTGAGAATAACAGCTTTGGCCTCATAGCATTCTTTTTTTTTTAATGGAGATTAGCAATATATAATTTTTTTTTAAATCCTGGCCTGGGATATGTTTATTGATTTTTAGAGAGAGAGGGAGGGAGGGAGGAAAGGAGGGCGGGAGAGAGAAAGAAACATCAATCCGTTGCCTCCCGCATTATCCTCTTAATCTCCAGTTTTATTTTTATCCCCTATTTTTATAGTGGGATAAAGTAGGCTGCTTGCGGGGAAATGAGCCTGCTACCCTGGGAGTGTTTAAGTGGAGGCTGCATGCCTACTTGTAGGTATTTCTAGAAAACATTCTTGTATTCAAGTCTAGATTGTAAAACCTAGAAAGTCCTCTCTCCCTTTTCAATGCAAAGATTCTATATGATTTCATTCAACACTTAAACCTGAAAATAAACTGCTTTTTGAACCTGAGCACTTGCTCTTTCACTTACTCATTTTGTTAAGAATTTGGCCATTCTTTCCAACAGAAAAGCTTCCCTCGTCTCTGCTGGTGTATTTATCTATAACTCACAATCCTGTATTACTGTTGCTGTAAATATGGTTGGGAATTCTGGTAAGGAAGTCTTGGTAAAATACTAAATATGGATACCTCGGGGAAAATTACAGTGTATAGTACATTTATAAATAGGTGATATGCAAAAATGCAGTTCAAACTTTTCAAGAAGTTTCTCATTAGATCCTACAATATGGGACTACCCCTAAAAACCTACACAACCATTTAGGGCTCACGCTCACTCTTCATGGCACGATGATAGCGTATCTCAAATAGAGACGTAAACACCTCAATATTCTCATGTTGGTATGAAAGCGGCAAAACTGGGATACCTTCTACATAAAGTTACAGTTAAGAATCTGCTATGTGAATGCATCTCCTCCCCCAAAAGAGGTGGTTTTCTCCCATCCCCAATAAAATACCTTATATTTTTGTACTTCTTGCCAAAAGAGCACCCCATTTTCCAATAAGTCTCCTTTTAGAGCCACGAACCGCTGAAATTGTCTCGAGGTAACTGGATTCAGTAATGCCTTACGAAAAGCAATGATTTCACAAGACGAAGAGATCCATTTACTCTCCACCGGCTGTCCAAAACAGAGGCCCGAAGATTAGCTGTGTTTTCAAAGTAACCAAAGTCATTCAGTAGACTAAAAATCACCAAATTCTATCTCCTTTACTTTCGGCTGTTGAAATTTATGGCCTGGATACAACAGAATTCGGGAACTTTCCCACCCTGTTCCTCTCCCCTTTATCTCCTTTACATGTTTATGGCATCATTTTGTTAAGAGGTAGAGAGAAAAAGAAATGATTGAATGATTTAGAACATGTGACTATGTTGTTTAAGAATGTTAACAATTGTTACAGTTTGAGACTACGGTGGAAAACTACATTTTAGTGCATAGGATGAGTTCTGTGCTTAAACAGAACAAAGTAATCATAATGTTATGATTATATATTGTTATATCATTATTTACTTTATGGTTTCTTATATTGTTATAAATTGATATGTAATTCTCTTACATTTCAAAAAGCAAAAACAGTTGAACATTTAAAATATTTTTTTCAAATTTTTAGAAAAAAAATCAATTAATTCTATTCATTTAAATAGGAATCTAGCCCAGCCAGCATGGATCAATGGTTGAGCACTGACCTATGAACCAGGAGATCATGGTTCAATTCCAGGTCAAGGCACATGCCTGGGTTTCGGGCTCGATCCCCAGCCGGGGGGCATGCAGGAGGCAGCTGACCAGTGACTTTCCCTCATTATTGATGTTTCTATTTCTCTCTCCCTCTCCCTTCCTCTCTCTAAAATCGATAATAAAAAATAAAAATTAAAAAAAATACATAAATAGGAAATTTACCATTGGCCTTCACTATAATTCTATCCTGGAAAGATTATGTTTTTTAGTGAATTATCTTTATATTATTTTAATAACAAATTGTTATTAAGAATTAATATGAAATAATTATTAATACATTATTTTTAATAACAAACTTCCTTTGACTGAGGTTTCACTTTACACAACAAAAAAGACTGAAGGAGCCATGGTGTTTGGTAATACTTAAAGGTATTACTAATTTTATATCTTTACAATTTTAAGATGTCTACTTCTTTTACTTTGACCATTTAGATCACATATTCATTCCCCTTTAGCCTCTCAGATGACAAAACAGATTTTATTGAATTTACTGAACAGATTTGTTTTTTACTGGATACACTTTATTGAAGTTCCCCAAATCTGAGTTTAGCCTACAACCATGCATCATTCCAAAGGCAATGTTTTAAGTGAACCTAGGAATTATAGTAACAATCAAACAAAACACATGATAAATATTCATTACGATAATGCATAAAATAAGTTTCTTGAAACAAATCTTATGTGACCATCAAAATGAGAGATTAAGAGGGTTATGTAAAAAGTGCCAAGGGAACACAAAGGAAGGGGTAACTAATTCTGCCTGGAGAAACAAAAGCTTTATATAGAAGAACCTTCAGGACGACACACATCTGAGTTGGAAACTGAAGACTGAAGGCAACCCCAGGCAGTCTAGATGGATGGCGGTGCCTTTAACCCAGATAAAGTGACTAGATGTCTATCGCTGTGTTAGTGAGGCACTGGTCGCATTCTCTGCGCTAGAAGTTAAGACCCTCACCACATGGTCCATATTAAAATTACGGCCCTATAAATACGAACAGCTATGTATTAGGCTGGGATGTTTGCTTAAAACCCACTCAGCAAATAATGTTTTAAGACCTGCTTCTTAAGATACTAAACCTTAGTAATTTAACTAAAACCTGTAATTTTACTAAACGAAAAATAACATACTATATAACGCACAATAATATGAAATATAAACCCATTGTATTTAGTATTTCAGTAAAAATATAGCAAAAGACAAACATAACAATAGGGGTTTTTTCCCTTTCAGGAGGAAGATTCAGAAAAAGAGGGCCCTAACAGATACACACACACACACACACACACACACACATATACACACACTCCTTTAACAGTTGAATAAAATTTTGTCTTTGTTAGTTTGCAGTGGGTCACCTGGGTCTAGTTTAACATTTTATCAAGATCTGTGGAAGAATGAAGGCCATAAATCTGTAGGCTGGAAAAGAAGACTGTGTTTATCACACTTGTTAAGAAGCAAAATAGGCAATTTCTAGTAAAGGTGTCATATTATAGTGGTTTAAATAATCACCAAGATGATAGGTATCTTAGTTCTTTTAAAGCTAAATGTAATTCTAAATAAAGGGGGTAATGTAGGATAATTTAACCTGCTGATTCTGCTGCTGTCTTCTCATTCCTTTTGTTTTACCCACTCTCAGTAATAAATATACTACCACATGCTGGAATGAACACATTGTCTCCATAAACCCATCACAAGCAAAATAAATAAAAATACATATTGAAAGTCCAATCGGACACTGCTGGGGTTGAGCAGGTGAAGGACTCTTTAAGAAGCCTCTGATAGAATCACACTTTCCACTGGATTTCATCAGCCAATTAAGAGCAGTGTTGCTGGTCAGCTGGTGGCTTAGGAATCAGGGTCTGCGATAAGGGTTTATGAACAAGAGACAGGAGAAAAGTACTTTGGCAGAGTAGACGTTAGAGGAGAAGGAATGTAACAAATATTACTTGCCTTCCAGATCCCAATTTTCCTTTCATGTTTCTGCAGTAAGAGCTCCTCAGCTACATCTATCAGCTGTACCTAAAAGCAAAACCAATCATCTTATGCCAATTATTCAGAGGGTCTAAAGTTCTGAAATCATTTACTATTTTAGTAGCTTTAAAAAATGAGATGGATGGATGGATGGACGGTCGGAGGTAGAAACAGAAATAGACAGATATATAGATGTAAGTATATAGAATGGGGTTGTCTTCTATACATTGTTCTGCACCCTACTTTTTTCACTCAACAAAATCTTTCATATCAGTACCTGTGGAAATCTCAATTTATATTTTAATCTCATTTTATATGGAAGTCTGCATAGTTTTCCATAGTATGAAATTACCATAATCCATTTAAGTATTCCCCCTTGTATATCCTTGCCCATTTATGAAAGGACTTAATAATATAAAAAACAACTATATTAATAGATAATATTTGGGTGTTTGCTGTGGGCCAGGCACCATGCTAAGAAACTAAACATATACTGTTCATCTCATCTTCACAACAATCTTATGAAGCAATTACTCTTATTAACCCCACCTTATTAAATGAGAAAACTAAGGTTATATGACTTAAAGCTGTATAATTAATATATGGCAGTGCTGAGATTAAAGCTTGGAAGTCTGATTCCACGCTCTTAACCAAGATACCATAGAAGGACAATGGCTGGGTGAACAGGTACTGCCAATCACTATCCGAAGATTATAGTACTAACTTATATACCTTTATCCTTTGACGTGCTGCAAACTGTTCACTTGCAAGAAACAAAGGCAACCACACATTTTCTAGCCTATTTAGGACATGCTTCTGAATTTCGATGAGAACAGGTGCATCAAGTTGCTCATGGAGAATCTTCCCCCAGCCACCACTTAAACCCATTATCTAAGAAAACAAAATGAAACAGAAACTACAAACTTCTGTTTGGGTAAAGAAACACTAATAGTCGTTAATTTATTCATTCACCCCAAACCATTTGCTGAGTACCTGATAGGTGCCACAATTTTAATTTTCTGTAAAATATCTCCTGGCTCTTTTGTGTATATTAAAGACAGACAACTCCGCTAACATCAAGCAGAGAATTGTGGTTTATGTGATGGTTGCTTTAGAAGTATGATTTTGCTTATGGTATATTTCAAAGAACACAGGAATGGGATTTTTATCCTGTATGAGCACAAGCAATGGCACTTTTTTCCTCCACGGCCCCCTTTCTTCAGCTGTAAAATGAGGGCATTAGTGCATCAGTTTCCTAAGATCTCTTCTAGGTCTAATATTCTATGAATCTGTGATTCTCGTCAGATGGACATGTTTGAGAAATCGTTTTCTTTTGTGTATGAGGAAACTGAGGCTTAGTAAAGAGACAGCCTTAACTCACATATTATAAATATGTATAATACCAAAAATATTGGGTTGGAGATGGTGGGATGCTAGTGTGGTAGCAATGTAGGGCTGTCCCAACAACGTCCAAGCAGCACACAGAGGCAGCCGGGCGTAGAGAGGCCAGGCCCCACAGACAGTAGTCTCTGACTCGCACGGGCGCTGCTTTTGTTCTGTAATCCTCACCAGAGGACACTTTTTTCATTGCGTTTCAGAGAGAGTGGAAGGGAGGGGGAGAGAGAGAAACATCGATGTGAGAGAGACACATGGACTGGCTGCCTCCCACACGCACACTGACCCAGGCCGGGGACGAGTCTGCAACCAAGGTACGTGCTTGGCAGGAATCAAACCCAGAACCCTGCATTCTGCGGGCCGACACTCTAACCACTGAGCCAAACTGGCTAAGGCTCAGGCAGCATCTTTTATAAAACACAATTTCTTTGTGGCCCAAATCTTCCTTCTGCATACTTACTGACTTCAACAAGTTATACTAATGGCTATTTCCTGCTATAAATTATTCTGTTTCCTACCTGTTCTGTGTATAAACCAGTCAAAAATTTTGGACTGCTCATTGGAAAAATTACCTTCTTCTTAGCTTTCCATTGATTAATAAGATTAATTAAACCTTACTAATAAGTTGTTTTCCAGATTAAAGAAAGAGAGCCCTGGCCGGAGTGGCTCAGTTGGTTGGGGCATGGTCCCATTCACCAAAAGGTTGTGGGTTCAGTACACAATCAGGGCACATATCTAGGCTGCGGGTTGGATGCCTAGTCAGGGGGCACACATGGGAGGCAACCCACCGATGTTTCTCACTTTCTCTCGCTCTAAAAACAAATTTTTTTGTAATGAATAAAATCTTTGGAAAAAAACAAACAGCCCTGGCCAGTGTGGCTCAGTTGGTTGGGCATCATCCCAGGCACCAAAAGGCTGCCCCTTTGATTCCAGGGCAGGGCACATGCTGGGGCTGCTGCCTGGCGTCCTGGAAGGCGGTGTGCAGGAGGCAGCCCACCTGTGGGTCACTCTTGCATGTTGTTCCTCTCTCCCTCCTCCCTCCCCTCTCTCTCTAAAACAAATCAATACAAATTTTTAAAAATTAAAATATATAGAAAAAGAGAAACTCTCTTAGCCATTCTTTAACGTTAATCAAATAACATTAACAATAATGCTGTTGTTTTCCTGCATTAAAAGAAGAAAGAACAAGAGGAAGGACTACTTCGCTGAGCAAAGAGCAAACTGGCCACACAACTGAAATGGGAACTAGAGTGATCTACACAAAGCGCAATGCGATCTGAATACCCTTAAGTATGAAATAAGAAAATAAAAATAAAGGTAAAGACAAAGCTGCGGAAGAAGGGCACCAGGAAAACTCCTCTGTAGTAAGCACAACCGCTGGCTGTGATAGCAGTGGGTGACCTTTTCCGCTGAATTTTAAATTCTCAGCATGTTATACTATGGAGGGTTCGCACAGTAGCATCAGATACCACTGAACCTCACGCAACGCAGCACAAGCCAACTAGAAAACAAATTCTTTCCATGTGGTTATTACATGCTTGTGCTTATTAAGATACCCAACCTCTTTAGCTAACACATCCCAGATTTGTATCTCAGGGAACTAATGGCAAGGCATTTTTGTCAAGGTTGCTTAATTCTACAACTTCTCCCTCTTAGTGCTAGTTTATTTCTACCTGCAAAGATGGAGCTTTTTAATTTGCTAGGCTCTACTGGTGAACATCTCTGAATTTTTCTTCAACTTGCTGAATTTAGCATTAATCTGAGATTTGTATTTTATAAATGTATGCCATCAGAATATGCATCTGCTAAATTGCCAATATAAAGAAATCAAATGCTATCGTTTGATCTCTAGGTGATAATGTAGTACTAGAAAACTCTGAACTAAATAATTACAATTTTTTAAAGTATAAAAACCGAGCCATATTTTATATGATCAGACCCACTGCTAAATCCTACTATGAAATTTTTGCTGTAAATAATAATGCGACGGTTATTAATAAGTTGTGATACAGACCATGTGACTTTGGTCCAATAAAATGGCCAAACCTATGTTCCTGGTCAATGAAAATAGTTTCTGGGAACAATTCAATAGCAAATGGGATTTTTCAAAATCAATTATGTTTGGAGTAATATCAGTTAATAGAAGCCAAGAAAAGAGGTAAAGATGGAGTTTAATGGCTGATAATGGCAGTTTTCCTCCTGGCTGAAAGGACTTGTCCATCTTGCTCACCACTTATCCTGAGCACTAGAAGAGTGTCCAGCATGTCACAGGCACTCATATTTGCTGAGTGAGTGGATGAATTAATGAATGAATAAAAGGGTTTTTTATTCTATAGATTATTGTTAAAATAACACTTTTTTATAATATGTAAAACTTGAGTGAGTTTTAAAGACATTTATTTTATAAATACTTGTGAATACCTAAAAAATGAGGTCTCAAAAGTGTCTAACACATAAGTCCTAACAGCAAATGGAAAAGATGACTTTCAGGTTGCTGGCAAAGAGAAACAAATGACTGGTTTTTATACTTGAATACAGAAAATATCTTTTCATGTTGATACCTGATCCTGCTGACGCCGAGAAGCTGGACTGTTAGGTCCAAAGAAATAGTTTTTATTAAGGTATTTGTTTTTAATATATATAGATTTTGCATCCCTTTGCTTTCGATCTTTATAAGTTATTCTTCGGAACTGCTCAATGTCTGTCCAGCACATAAGGTCCATGCTAAAATGAAAACAAAAACAAAGTACAGCCTTTCTTACTTACTTCTCTCAGTTCTATTAAACACCAAAACAAAGTTGCTGTATGGAGAGAACTTAGAAAGTGGTTGTCTTGACTACTTAGCACAAGCGGTTAGATCATGGAACTAACAAGTACAATGTGTGTCTCATCCTGGCTAAATATATGAATGAGTACTGGGGGTCCTGGGGTCAGAAAAATATCTATCACCATTGTTGTTCAGGTCTCAAAGTTCTTCCATTAATGATGGACTAGTACATTCAATTTCAAATATGGAAACATCCCCACCTATTGCATCACTGTTTGGCAACAAGCTAAATTTAGAATAATCCTCAGCACAAATAGAAACTATATATCTGAAATGTGGCTCCCAAGTCTAACCAATGTCTGCTAAATTGTGAGAAAATTATTGGGGAAAAATGATCACATTATATTAGATAAATATGTTATAAGGTCCCAAGATTCTGTGCAAAACTACACTTTACTTATGTATTACCTAGCAAAAGTTATAAAGTATTACATTAACTTCAATAGCTTAGTGAAATACAAGAGAGACACTTCTCAGAAACAGTGATTGAAGCACCTGTCTAGGCAAATGCAAAAGAACAGCAGGAAGGAAAGGGTAAAACACACTGGTGTTTTCATTTAGCCATGCAAATGTATCAACAAATATTATTTAACTACTTAAAATAACATTTTGGAGGTTGTTATTTATTTATTTTTAAATATGTCTTCATTAATTTCAGAGGGAGGAAGGGGGAGAGAGAGACAGAAACATCAATGATGAGTCATCGATCGGCTGCCTCCTGGCCGCCCCCTACTGGGGATCAAGCCTGATGTTCCCTGACCGGGAATCGAACCTCGATCTCCTGGATCCTAGGTCAAAGCTCAACCGCTGGGCGACGCTGGCTGGGCGGAGGTTGCTATTTTTAAAATGCACTCCCCAACAAAAAGTTATCCATACAGCTTAAAAAAATAAGTAGCTTAGAAAAAATATTTTAAGAGGGAAATATATTTTACAATGGTTATGTTCCTTACCTTGAAGAATGAGCCTCAAGAAACTGACGGAAATGTTCAAACTCCAGCTTGTTGTTAAGCAGATCATTAAAATTAAAATGCCTATATTCTGCAGGAACACTATTCCAGTACTCTGTTTGTTTAGAGATATCAGGATGTGAGGGAATACCAGTTGCAGTTCCACCAGTAGTGCCCTAGTAAAATAATGCTTTTCATAAAAATCTCTTAAACACAGCAAATTATTTTTCAAATTTAAATAAACCGAAATAAAAATTAACTGTTAGGCCAATGCCATTTAACAGGTCAGTGGTAGAACTGGGTAAAGAATCTAGAATCTGGTTCTAAACTCACATAAAATTCTCTTCTGTTCCTTTACATTCCATTCCCTTCTTTTCAGGAACATTCAGTAAACATTTATTATATACTTGCTTATAAAATAGTAATTTTATTCTTTTCATTAATACAGAAGCAATGTCTTTTGTAATAGAAAGAAAACAAAAAGCATACATAATGCTACCATTCAGAGACAACCACCATTAACATTTTTATATATATCCTTCTAATCTTTTTTATCTACATACAGGTAGTTTATTAAAAATTAAACCAGGGCTATACAACTGTGTATGGTTTTATAACTTGGTTCTTTTTCTTAACAATATATCATTAACATAAAACATTCTTTTATCTGTAACAATTTCAAAAATTATAGAATAATGTAAGATGCTTTTCTAATAAAGATTACATTCTTTAAATGTGATCTCCTTCCTATAAAAGTTAACTTGGGGGTATTTTTAAGACCTATGAAGTTTGCAGGCAGTTTATAAGCCCTTTGGAGCAAAGAGTGAAAGAGGCTTCCTCTCTGAAAAACCCTTCCCTCTGTAATTCCTTAGATGGTTAACCCATCTCCATATGTTTTTCAAAAGCATCAGGCCATGATGTAAACTACCAATATTTTCAAAGTCAGTTTTCCATAGGAAGAAGGGTTATGGGGAATGATATTAATTTTAGTTCATAAAGTTTAAAATACAATTTTACAATATGCTATCTTTGTGGAGTTTCATGTATGCTTTCCAAGATATTAATCAGTAGTGTCTCCAATAGAGAATTTCTGTGTTAATGAGGCAACTATCATGAAGGTTACATTTAAAAAAGAACTTTACTGTTTTTGTAAAACTTTATTGTAAAAGAATAAAAATTTCAGAGACGTACAAAGAAGAAAGTAAAAATCACCTGAAACCTTACCACTCAGAGCTAACTATCTTTAACATTTTGGTGAACATCTTTTCAGATACCTCTTTGCATATATGTATTCATGTAGAAATACATATACAATTTCATGTAAATAAGATCATGCAATACCAGTGTTTTTGTTCCTTACATTTTATAGAATATGTTCATGTCAATAAATATGAATCCAAACTGTCATTTTTATGTAGATACACATTTAATATTATTGTTTTATGAATCATTCATGGTTTGCTTAAGCCAATCCAAAAGTTTTGAATCTATAAATCAAAATAATACTTTCATATCCTAGTCTTTTTATTGACTTCCCCAAATTCTTTCCATATTTTTAATAACTTCTGCCTATTGATATCATACAATAGATCTTTTTCTGTTTGGAAAACTCATTTTAACTCTTTTGTGACTGGACAACAAATAGACATGCCACCATACAGAAAATCACCAATAACATTCAAGGGAATATAATGTGGCCTGAAGGCTCTTAACTCTCAGCAAAGGCAAACAAGGAGCTTGGCAGCCTGTGTACCTTATCTCCTTTGTTTTTCTGGCTTTGTCATGAAATGTGTCAATACAATGTGACACCTATCAAATGTAGCATCCTAGACAAAGCAGCAACAGAAAAATGAAACTGCTTGTCCCCTACATTATCAATATATGATCTCCCACACCCACCCCTGCCAATATGTGTGGTGGTAAACCCACCAGGATACAAATTTGTTTTTCTAGGTAGAGAGTTGTCTTACCTCAACTTTCTTGGAAAATGTCTCTTTATGCAAAGCCTGGAGTTTTCTGAAGTATATGGAGTCTAGCTGTCGAGTTTCTTCCACCAGCTCCACCTAATAAAATAATAATAAAACTCACAACATCAATAGAATATGCATGATGAAAAAGTGGGGACGAACGTACAGTCTGCCAGTGACACTGGGCTAAGAAACCAGTATGCTTGCCAATAAAGTAAATTAGTTTGGAGGCAAAAGCAGGAAGACCAACACAGTAAAAAATATCAGTTACAGCAAAGTCAGACTTTGAATGAATACAATAAAAAATACATACATTTCTAGGTAATGATATAATGCCGTGATTGTCAACTGGTGTGCTGCAAGAATTTTTAAAACATGCAGTACCTGACTATTTAGTCAGGGGCACTGACCTCTTTTCCCTTAAGATTGTCAAAAAAAATGGCAACAGCCAACAACAATAGATGTTCAGTGTGAATGCCCTGTTTTCAACCATAAATATGTAGGTCACATAACAGTGTTAAATCTTATTGGTCACATCTCATAATAAGGTCATGTCTGATTGGTTAATCCTTGATACCAGAAATCCTTATATACAAATATAGGCACCTGCTTTTTTAAAAATCACTTTGGAGCAAAAAGGGTAGGTAATTACTACTATTATTTCTTGTAAATCAATCAAAATTAAACCTAGTTTTGGTCAGATTAGCAAAAATATATTTGTTGGTGTGCCACAGAATTTAAGTAATTAGTTTATGTGCCATGAGATAAAAAAGGTTGAAAATTGCTGATACAGTGCCACCAAGGGGCCTACTCCTTTCTGGATACACTTGAACTAACAAACGATGGAAGCCTGTTGGGTCACATGTCCAGTTTCTATTCATCATAACAAGATAACAGTCACGAAGGCAGGCACTACTAACTTTAGGCACCACGTAATCCACAGAACACGAAATGACCGGACTCCATTGTCATTAGTCTGTGAGCAAAGGTTTTATTGGTGTAGCAAGAGGGGGAGAGTGTTAATCATCAACTTAAACTTCATAGTAGTTCTCAGCCTTCAGATGAATATTGCACTGTTTTATATAGTCAGGGAACCAAGATCATTCTCCATTTCTCTGTTGCAAGGAAAAAGTCAGTTTGGCTGGCTGAGAACGTTGTGTATTTAATAGCTAATTTGGGTGGTCTCCTTTGTTATCCTCTTTGGGAAAGAGTCTATCTGCGTAAATCCAGTCAGCTGGACTTTTAGAGAAGTCTCTGGGCTGAATTTAAGGATGTTTCTAGAATTAAGAGAGATTTATTTTTCTTCTTAGTTAAAAGAATGTATAGCCCAGCCAGCATGGCTCAGTGGTTGAGCATTGACCTATGAACCAGGAGGTCACAGTTTGATTCCCAGGTTGTGGGCTTGATCCCCAGTCGGGGGCATGCAGGAGGCAGCTGATCGATGACTGTCATCACTGATGTTTCTATCTCTCCCTCTCCTTACTCTCTCTAAAATCAATAAAAACATATTTTTTTTAAAAAAGAATGTATAATTTGTCCCATGCATTTTTATGAGAATCATTACTAATGCCAAAACCTTTTGGTTTAGGGAATCTAGTTATAATTCTAAATCTTTATCATTTCAGGACCATATCTCAGGTTCATTTTCCTATACACCATATATTATATTTAAAATAACAACTAAAGAGATTTTTTTTAATTTCATAGGATAGCCTAATTTTCCAAGTGTAATCTATGTATTTTTGTAGTAGAAAGGTTGCAATGTTAAATTTTCAAAACAAAGAGAAATCAAAAATAAAAATGTAATTATTTTGGTCTCTGAATTTAGTAAACCCTAGGGTTGTTTTAGTCACAATCCAATAAGATCACTCTATCCGAGGTGCTTCCGTGTGAATTTTATCTTAATTACCTAACCTATCCTTTCTGGTAGAAAGCATGAAGAGATACGAACAAAACACAGTAACACAATACCGGAGTCCCACCTGAGGTGACCTCATGGACAGGGTACATGCATTAACTTAAATAAAAAATACCCATGAGTGGTTTTAATTTGTGATTCAAAATAAATATTTAACAAAATTTCCTCCACCCGTCAATAAGAGGAGTGAAAATATTCGAGCACTGAGGCTTAACATGACCTCTTCGGGAATGAAAAAAGATGTGTTGAAACTTTTATCCTGTCAAGCAGTCTGACCTGCTGAACATCTGGGGAGCTTTAAAAGAGCAGCACTGAAGTCAGAGAACGCGCTTTCCACAATACATACGAAGCGTTTATGTTTTCCATGGGGATGATATTTATGGTAACTCATCCAACTTAAAATTAAACGAGCTTTGTCCATTAATCAAAATTAAGACCGCTGCTGAAAAATGGCAAGAAGGGACAAAGCCAGTACATTCTCATGGCATATTTTGTTGGTTTATAGGAAACCAAAATTCAGATTGATCTCTGCTGACATATTTGTACAGAGAACTAAAAATGACACCGATGTAAGTCTTTTGTTAAGAGACAACAGGGAAACTCTGAATCCCCGCCCCATCTGCGGTCTTTTCCAGTTTTCTTCTGGTGAGTTGCCAGTGCCCCTTATCATCAGTTTTACTATAAGCCTGAACGGCTCGCACAGCTCATCACGCCCCGGTACCTGTCTGTAAGACACCTGATCTGACTGCACCAGCATCGTCCAGGGCTCAAGGAGCAGCAGCAGGATATATTCCTCGGCTGTGTCAAAAAGGTCTTCAAATGGTGGCTGTATTTTCATATAAATTTCTTTTTTCCTTTCCTGTTGGAGTCCAATGTCAAGAGTGGCCGAAGGAGCGACATACGTGGCAAAAAGATACTAAGGGAGACGGGAAGACAGGGGAGGTTGTTGGGAGAAACCATATGGTTAGTAGGTTCCTCAGCAAAGGCAGTTTTTAAAAAGTAAGAAAAAGCAAACAAGCTCAAGAAATTTTTTTTAAAAGATGTGTAAAACTCAAGACTGCTAAAGAAGTGTGTCTATTCAAAAGACTGCTTTCGCTCTCTTTTCCGATCTCTTCGTATGTAACTAGTTAGCCAGTGGAGCCTACCCAAGAGTAGGTGATTTAGATTCTGCAGTTTTTCTCAGATTACTACTATGGATTATTATGATTGGTTTCAAGTTATATGTTTCCTTTTCTCCCCTTATGTTCGTGGCAGTTCTGTGTGTGCTACTTCGCTAGGTGGTTTGAAATGGCCTTTTGAAAGCAAGAAGCAAGAAGACACTAGGGCTTCAAGGTCTTCTAGTCTAGAGACCCACAGGGCTGCCTGCACTACCCAACTGAGTTGCCGAGTTCTTAAAATTTCTTTCTGCTGTAAAAATGTCTCCATCTGGTGTCCAATGCTGTGAAAGAGACACAAGAAGGAAATAAGAGTGAATGGCAAGATAGAAAGAACATCCAGCCTCCTAGGTGTGTGGGTGTCTATTTCATTGTACTCATTTGTCTCCTCTCTCAATAATAGCTACTTAAATCTGAGAAGCACTTTAATAACAGTTTATTTTTTAAATGTTACAAACTGGATGTCAGATTTAAATGTAGTTTTACTAAGAGTATCTAATTAATTGTATTTTGTTTCAATTTTATTTTTATACTTAAGACTTTGGAGTTGATACTATCCAGACTTGACAGATAGATAGATGATAGATGATGACAGATGATATAGATAGATATAGATAGATAGATGATAGATAGATAGATAGATAGATAGATAGATAGATAGATAGATAGATAGATGATAGATAGATGATGATAGATAGATAGATAGATAGATAGATAGATAGATAGATAGATAGATAGATGATAGATAGATAGATGATAGGTAGATCTAAAAATATGTGCCAAATGCCAAATAATATGCTTATGTAAAATAATATTTTAAAAGTTTTAAAGGGTCCACATTAATAACATAAGCACTTACAAGTATCCACTACATCTTAGACCCCTGGATAGGTGCTATGTAAGCAAAGATTAATGAATGAGGCCTAATGCTTGCCCTCAGGAGCCCACTGGTGGTGACATGGAGATGAAAACCAGTGGCTACAATACAGTATGAAAAGTACCACAATGGAGGCATGCATTGCAAATAAGATCTTCAATAACTGTCTGACCAATCTTTTCAAGTTCATCTCCCATTAAACACCTTTTAAATTTTACACTCAAATATTAAATTTTCTTAATTTCCCTACACCTTACTGTTTTGCCATTCCATACCACTGCACATTGTTCCTTCAATCTTGGACATTCACATTACCCCATGCACCTTGTCTGCTGGATAAAGTCTGATTTGTTCTTTAAAATCAATGGGAATTTCTCTTCCTTGAAGAATCCTTCACTCACACCCTCCTCCCAAGATCATACTTTTCAACTGCTATGCCAGTCACACTATAATGCAATGATGCATTTATGCATCTTCTCTTCTGGAACAAGGTCTTTGAGGGCAACTACTTCAGCTTACTCATCTGTGATTCTCCAACTCCTAAAACTTTTCTTGGCAGAGAATAGATGCCATAAATGTTTATTGAATTGTACTGAATCCACAGAAAGACTCATTCATGTCTTGGAATGGGGAAGGAAAATATTCAGAAACTCTTCCAAGAGAAGATAAGCTTCTCTTATCCTTAATCCTTAAACTGAACCTTTAAAGATGAGTTGGAGTCAATCAGGCAAAAGAGTTGATGAGAAAGATGGTTCAGGAAGAAAGAAAACATGGGCCAGGGCATGGGGACCTATGAGGGTTATAACCCGTGAAGAGATTTGAGGCTTCAAGTAGGTAACACTGGCCAGAGGACAGAGTTAGAATAAGAGAGGATGTTGTAAAGGGAGGCAGGTACCAGATCGTAGATATGATCTTTTATTCTTTGTTAAGGAATTTTTTACCTAAAGATACAGAATGACATAATTGGATATGAATTTTAGAAATAAATCACTATGGCATCAGGAGGGAGAAACAGTTTGAGTAGATTAAGATTTGAGGCTGTTTGGAAGTCATTTCAATAGTCAAGTACGAAACTTTATGACACCTTCATCTCTTACCTGCTTTTCTACAATGGCCTCTTAGATAGTCTTTCCAGGCTCCTCTTGGCTTTCCTACAGTCTTACCACAGCAAACAAGAAACCACCATGCACATCACTCTTCTCTAACTTTCCAGTAACTTTCCATCTCACACTTAAAAACAGCCATAGTCTTATAATTACCTGTCAATGGAGGTTTTAGAAGTTTCTCAGTGCCAAGGGGATGAGGGTTATTACAGGTCAGGACCTGCCAGTGGGGAAGCCCCTATAAGCACCATAGGCTCTCAAAACTCCTTAGAGCTGGGGCACACCAGGTACGGACCCTAGCCTTAAACCTTAAGTGCCAAGAGAAAATAACTGCTAACCTGTAATTATATACCCAGCTAAAATACCCTCCCAAAACGGAAAAAAAAAAGATGTCAGAAATCAAGAAATGAAAACAGAATTCATCACCAGCAGACCTGCACTAAATTAATTAATTAACTAATTTAAGGGAAGCCCTAAAAAAAAGCAAGATGGAACAGAGAACAAGAGAAAGCATAAATATTGATTGTAAAATATAATAATGAAGAAAGTCAGAGGAAATAGTAAAAGAGTCTAAGAAAGAGAAGGCAGAATTGAAGGTGCAGGTTAAACTGTGATTGAAGTGACCTACCTTGAGGCCCATTAGAGGTAGGAAAGCAGACGAGGTTGGTGTCAGGGCAGCAACACAGTAATACGAAGGGGGAGTACCAAAGAGCTTGAGGTGAAGATAAAGGCCAAGGGCGTCTAGAGTAGTTTAAAAAGGTAGAATCCACTTTTTTATACAGTTCCCCTTAAAGGGAGTACTACAAAGTTCAGTGTATTATAGGCACTCAATAAATATTTACTAAGTGGACACACGGGACATTTATGATCTGAAAGAGGAGTGTCAGCAGAGTTCAAAATTCGAAGCTGAAGTAGTTTCAGTTTGGGGTAGATTCTAAAATGTGGCCACCCCATAGTTAAATTAGGAAAAATAGAGATTAAAAGCACTGGAATTGGGTAAGTTAAGAAACACTGAAACAGTTACAGGGCTATCAGAGTGGATGCTGAAAAAGCTTCAAGATGATAAAATAGAAAAAGTAGGGAGAACTTTCATGAGTCATGTAATGAAAATTTCTAGGAAGGTAAAATAGAACCTAAAAGATCTTTAGATAATGTTAATGAGGTTTAAGAGAGGAAGAATTACAAAACATAGCAGACTGCAAAATTTTTGACGTTATTAAAAGATGAGCCCTGAATAGCAGCAGCAGAGAACTCTCTTCCTGAGTGCCGAGAGAAGGGGCATATTTGAGAGTCATCCGAGATGTTCTATTTAATTAGGCAATCTATAGTCTGGAAACTTAGTTCGCTAAAACACAGGTACATATTCTGCTGGGCTGAATAGTCCAAAGTGAACCATACTCTTTCCAAATGATTACATAATATTTAAAATGAAATTTGCTACACACACACACACGGAAAATTTTTCTAACCTTGGGAGTTATTTAGAAGAATGACTTGTAAATCTAACCAGTCTAACAAGCTAGGGTTGTATCAGATTCAAATCTGTTCTTGAATATTTTCTAAGCTTGAAGTTTTAAAAACGAACTAATTAAAATAATGCCATACTAAGGTAAATTAAGAAACTAAAGACTAAAATGATCAAATTACCAACATCAATCAATTTCTCTAGAATTCCCTTCAATAATTTCAAATTTACCTCAAAGGAAAGTAAACTTGACTCCCCACATCACTTAGGTTAAAAGTCAGTAGTAAAGCTATATTTGGGCAGGAATCTCCTCTAATGGCAAAATAAAGATATACATATATCTCTTTGGATCTCTTCCACATATAGTTGACTGTTAAGTCCCTGAGAATGGATAGAGTCTTTCATTCATTTAGTCATCCTTCCATTCATTCTAAATTTAGCATTATGCTAGGTGCTAGGGGATCAGTAATAAACTATTAACAATAATTTTTAAAAAGTAGATACAATCTGTCTTCATAGAGCTGTGGTCCAGTGGGAGAGATGTACAAGTACAAATATAAGTGCAGGGTCCCCTGGGCACACATGAGCATGATCCCTAAGCCAGATCTCAGGAGTCAAGGAAGACTGATTTCCTTCCTAAACTCAAAGCCTGTGCTTCTAGCTGCCTGCTTGTTACATCTACAAAGAGAGCCCACGGACCCTCAAACTCAATGACTCAATAATATAATGAATGACATTTCCCTAGTTTTCCAAGCCTTTCCCTTCCTCCCGTTTCCAGTTTTTATTAATAACATGCTAGTCACAGCACTTTCTTTGACTTCCCTGTTTTCTTCTCCTTCCTCAAATGCAAATCCTATTAATTTAATCTCTACCATAGAACAAGGAAAGATCAACAAGAACAAATATAAAAACATGGGGAGAAAATAAGCAGCAGAAGTTCCATCCCAACGAGAAACATCATAAAACTCCATCTTCTGATCAAGCTGGGTCAGACCCTTTCCAGGCTGTGTCTACTCCCTTCCTTCCTGACCTCACACTCTGCTCAGGAAGCCACTGTGGTCCATGCGCATTACTTAACTGCATATCCCACAGTCTCAAGGAGCTATAGTTAGGGGAGCCGTATGTCCCCAGTCCAGTTTAAGCCTACTGTTCTGGCATAATTATTAATAGTTCCCTTTTCACTCTCAAAGGAGTTCTGGTTTAGATTATAAATTATATGCTCTCCCTATATTCAAGTGCTACCAGTTAGATAAAATGATGAAGTTTCTCTAAAACAGGACTCCCAGAAATGCTGGACATAGATTTAAAACTGAAAAT